ATGGTTACACAAGGTACCCAAAGATTCGGTCCCAAGTCAACAAGGCCTGCTGTCTCATACTACTTCGAACCCAACGACATGGCTGCGGGTTTTGAGTTTCAGCTTTCAACTACAGTGTGGACTCAAGATGGGTTTAGGCGTTCAAATCAAACATGCCCAAACTGACAAAACATGCCAGTGAGATGACAAAGCATCTTCATGCCCTTGAAAACAAAACATCCGAGCCAAAAAGACTGGCACAACATCCGCGGCCAAGCAAAATGGGACTGCACTGGGCTGAACCAAGACACCTCTTATGCACCCAGGTGAACCTGCCTCTTCAATGACCTCTGAATGCCGAACGCGGCCTTCCGGCACCTGGAACGGATTCTGCAAATCCACTGTCAGTTGCAGGAAATAGACTCTAAACTGCACATGACATGCAAGGAGTGCTTCTGCGGACGCATCTTTTCACCAACGCATCACGCCGTGAAGTTGCGGTTCTTCAGAATCTCTGCAGTGAGCGCCGTCAGGTTACCCAAGGTCTGATTGCTGATGAAATTGGTGATGTTCGTCACCGCCTGGTTCGCTATGACATCAAGCTCCGCACTGAAGTCATCTTTCTCCTCCTGGGTTTGCACGATTTGCCCCCACCCCGGGTCTGATTGATGGGTGGAGAAGTTTGCAACGCTTGTGTCTTCACACGTTTAGGCTAAGAAGCCCAACGAAAAGCGTAAACATGCAGAACATTGAAGATCCGACGTTTCCTGATCGATCTGCCACAACCCACACGCTTTGCTTGCAGGAAGTGAGGAGCTATCTTTCAAAAGGGGGGTGGGAGTTTCATCACCATGATGTCTGGCTCCGGCATGGATCCAGTCCTTCTGAAAGCCAAGCTGGCGGTCAAGAAATGCCTTGATAACCGTTGCTGCCACCACTATTCGCAGTAGCAGTGCTTGAATCATAGTCTTGTTGAGAACAAGGCCTTTGACCACTGGGATGCCCCATCCCTGTCCATGGTTCACCTGCATCACACCGAGCATCACGCGCGGGAGAGAGAGCTTCTGTCACTTATATATAAAGATGTTACTTACGCTGCTTTCATCTTCAACTGTAAAACCATCTTCGTGCTTATCAGCAGAATTATAATCATCATCATCATCATCATCATCATCATCATCATAATCTCACCATCAGAATCATCATCAGCATCTTTAGAAACATCATCAAGCATCAGGCGTGGGAGAGTGAGCTTCTGTCATCTTCACACATTGTTTTTGGAATGGGTCTTTATGCTGCGTCTTGGAAAACAGAATGCGGTGTCAAACGGAGGGCGGAACATCACCGATCTCACCGTATTTGGAATGTAACACGAAAAACACGTGGCAAATCCACACGGCAAGAACAAGAGCTTCAAGCAAACTAAATAGGAACGACTGCCCCGCAACCCTGGTCAATCAGTATGCACTCTCCCGTGTCACCGTTATCAACCTGCAGTGGTGTTTGGCTGGAAAGCAAGCTTTGCGAGACACTGGAACTTGTCGGTCTTTGGCTGGAAAACACAGATAATTGAAGAGACAAGCATGGCTACAGTCGAAAGAGGGTGACACTGACGTCACTGAATATTCGGGCTTTGACCCTGGAGTGACCCTTTCAGGAAGAACCGCCTCCAAAGATGGTGATCCATTCAATCTGATTGATCTGAGATGTTTGTTCGCAAAAATGCCTACTGTGGCCACAACAAACTGCCCATCGTCAACCCGGTCACTTCTGGAAAATTGTCTTTCTTGGGTTTCATGTTTACAGTCCAAGCCAAATGCAAAAGAAACATGTGTCTCCATCCTGAAAAGATCATGTCCGGGTTCTGCTCCATCCCCACCTTCGCTAGCATTGCCTCCACTGCCTCTACCTCAAGGTGCCGAGATGGGTCTTGCTGTCGCTGTTCATTGAGGCCACTCTCGAGTTCCTCAAGCGCTGAGGAGAGAATGCTCAGCGGAGAAGCCACCGAGAGAGAAATGCTTGTAAACCAGCAAGCATGCCCTAGTAGTCGAATCCAATTATTCAACCACCAAAACTCTGCAGAATACGACAGCATTTGCACCACGCGATTGTAAGCTATGATGGTTATGGACAGTATTCCGGCCGAGGACATCAGCATTGCAGGCAAGCCGAAGGGCAACAGGTTTGGGGGGATCTCCTGTAAGAGCTTGGCACATGGCTTGTGCACAGAGTCCCTGAACGGTGCACTGTCGGGCACGGGCAGCACTGCGGCAACTTCAATCATTCTTTGATATGCGGCAATGCAAATGCGGGATGCTAACAAAGTGAGCATTAAGTATTGAGCATCTATCTGAACTTCTGCCAGTCCCAGCTGAAGTGGCAAAACATCTACAAAGTCAAAGCTTGTCGGTCGATCCATCATCAACAAACCATCTGCAATCCTGCAAAGACTAAACATGCACAAAGGAACAAGTGCCACCATCTGCATGCGCCGCGACATGGCACACATGGCCTTGCTCAATGGTGTGCTGAGCAGTGAATTCCCGCAAACGGCAAAGCATCCCCAACAAACCCCCAAGACCACGATCACTTCTCCAACTTGCAGCATCTTCCCTCCATAGGTCACGAAGCTCCACTCGAGCAAGACCCGGCCTGCTCTCCCCAAACAATGCCCGATGGCACAGCCCACAAATGCAAAAAGCACCGGCCAAGTGAAAGCTTTGCTGTTCAGGTCCAAACCTTTGCTCATGGTTTTGTAAGCCAACCATGGTAAACTTAATGTCAGCAAGCCGCCAAGAAGGCCTGCAGGCATTGACATGCAATAGAGGACCCATGCTGCTCTCTCTTCCGCATTGGACGGCACCACCACTGTGATTTCATAGGTCTGGTCCAACTCCTGTGCCTTTTTGATATCTTCATACAGAGCGGCGAAACTGTAAACCTCTTTCCCCACTTTGACAATATGCATCCCCGCTTGCAATCCCACCGCCGCTCCTGGCGCCCCGCGCCAGACCTTTGCGATGAGGCTCGAGGATGGCTCCACGACCCAACCGATGTAGCCAGCTGGCAAGGTAATGTTTTTCATATGTCCAACACGTCCCTCTTCAGACTTCAGATGAGAAAGATCTTCTGGATTAGGAAGTGCCCTGTCTTTGGCCGGCCGATAAGCGGCCATTGAAGACAGGCACATGAGAAGGAACACTCCTTTGAGGAGCATGGTGTTCGTGGCAGTTCAGCAGGCCACTGCGACACGAATCCTGTCAATTATGGAAAACACACAAGGTACCACACATTGTGGTCCCATTGAAAGACCTAGCCATTGCTGTCATGTCCTTTTTGAGCCGCCACAGCAACAACTTCATACTGTCTCGAACGGGGTCCTCACATCGGATCAATCTCCTGCAACAGTCAGGCAGCTACGCAAGCTATATACTCGCTTCGCTTTAAGACACAATGACGTTCCACACAACGACGCAAGCGACGCAAGCTCCTCTGCTCGCCCCCCCCCCCCACGCCTCACGCGGCGAGCACCTGCGGCACCGTGAGCATCCAAAGGCTCACCATGCTCACGTCGCCCTGTCCCGGTTAGGGAGCAAAGTGTCGTATAGGTTATGGGCCGTGAGGGGTTATGGTTATTCGCAGAAAAAAGTTGTGGGTATCCCTGGGACCGTTGATAAGTTGAAGTGTTCACCAAAAAGGAACAAATGGAAATTCGTTGGATAGTAAGGACTGAGTAAATAAGGTATTCTTGTGGGAAACGCGCTCCACGTGTAGGCTCAGTACGTTCAACCAGTTCAAAAAACATTGGTTCGGATCTGCAGTTTGGAGCCCACCTTCCTTTCTTCTCCAGAAGATGTCTTTTCGTTGAGCTCAAATGGGAAAGCCAAACAACTTGACCATTCGCCAAAAAAGAGGTCGTTTATGCCTTCCAAGGATCCGGTGTGCGAGTTGTCTGCGTTGGATCGGGACCTCCGAAGGCGAAGAAGAAGGGATTGAGAGGCGGTTGTGGCCGACATCGAAGAACATGCAATCTAAAGGCTTGATCAGGCTGGTCAGGCGACCCAGAGTACACGGCTGTGAAAACAGCTGGGGTTCCCACCAGGACATGTGATGAGAGATGAAAAAGTGTAGAGACTGTGACCTTGGTCTCCACATCATTCCACCTCAAAATGAATAGTGACTAGTCTGACTAGTGGCTAAATCGATAAAGCTTACGACTTACGACCAACAACGAGTGACTACAGTATCGTTTTTTGTGCCCCAACCCACCCAAAATGCCCCCCAACCCACCCACCTGCCAGCCGCCTCCAACTCCTCGTCCCCACTCGGAGCGACGCCACCTGCGCTTCGGCCGCTTATGCGCGCGGCCCGACTCGGGGGGGCTCGGAGCGAGCTCGGAGCGTCGGGCGTTTGGAGGGAACGGAGGAACTGGACCTGAGCGAACTCGAACTGGTTCCGGGCTGAAACCGACCAAAGGAAGCTGTGAATCCAAACGGTCGGAACGGGATGAAAAAGCGAAGAACGGATATTTTTTGGAGCGGGGTCACGCGGAACGTGGTGACATGATGCAAGAATCTATGTTTAGTTGTCCAAATGAAAAATCTAGCGTCTTTGCAAATTGACAGTAGTGTCTGCCTCTGCGAAAACGCATAGAGCCTCTCCAACCTCCAATAGAGAACCCAAGGCAAGGAATACCAGAAGGAAAGAGAGATCTCAGGATAATTGGGTTGGCAAGTCAACGATTGTAACGGAAGTCTCCTGTTGAAGAATCGACCAAACTGCGCGAATCCTGAAGGGAGGAATCCCTGAAACACTTGAAAACAGGTTTGTGATCAATGTTTTTCAAAGTAGATACTTCTGCAACCCCAACAGAGTGACCGTTAGTTCGCGCAACCAGCTGAGGCATGCACTTTCCTCTCTGGCACCTGTCGCGTTTCAGCAACAGGCCAGGTTGCAAAGGGTGCGGGACAGCTATCCAGCTCTGTCATTCGCTCTTTCCAAAACAAGGCTCAGTGGTAGGTTTTTGTTAAAATGTCACGGGAACGAACGGACCCGTCATCACCTCTGGTCTTCCAACGTTTTCTCCTGTGAAAGAGGCCACACAACCTACGACCGCGATGGCCTCCAACCTAAGAGCAACGGCCTCCAACCTACAAGCAATGGCCTCCAACCTACTAGCGATGGCCTCCAATCTATGTGAAAAAGGCCACACAACTGCTTGTTGTGTCCTTCAACAGGTTCGCCTGGCAGGAAGTGTCGAAGCCTTTTTGCCCATCACAGGGCTCACCTTCAACACATCTCCAGTGCTGCTGCCTCCAATTGGCAATGACAGAAAGGGAAAAAACGATTGAAAAGCAAAAAAGATCGCTAACTGGGCAACAGCAACAGTGGCATTTCCCCTTGGCAAAAGCACTGGAGGCTTGGGGAGCTGTTTTGCATGTTTGTCCTCGTTAAACAAGACGTTTCCGGAAAACAACATCCCCGAGAAAGCTCCCGTGTCCGACACTGCCGTGTCCTGAGGCCGTGCCTTCAACTTGTGTATCGTTTGCCATTTGTCCACCACGGTAACCGTACAGCTCTTCAAAGGTTTTTCTGGATGGAGAGAGGGTGAGTCAGCCCCCCCTGCCGTACCTCCATTCGAGCTTGGCATTACAGATCCTGCACGTCACGTTCCACGTCCCACGTTGCCTGGCACATCCAATCATTGGAAGGCACATCCGCAGAATGAGAAACTCCAAAGATCCTGAAGATGAGAAACTCCAAAGCATCTGGGGCGAATGCAAGCGGGCCCAAACCACTTTTTGAGCTCCAAACACGGCCCGAACTATGGAAAAGATGCTCTGGATTGATTGTGGTCCTCCTGGTGCGGCTGGAAATGGCGAAGGAGGGCTTGGATTCATCATCTGCCTCCGCCTCAAAAAGAGACAGCGGGATGAATCCAGGCGGGCGTCTCACAGGTAGAGGAAAGACATCCCAAGCCACAGCCAGGTAGAAGGGAAGATTTACATCCCAACCTGTGCAATGAAGTGGTGACAACAGCAACTCCACCCTTTTTTTCCTCACTTGAAGCAAGTCCATGAAGGAAGCAACATCTTCCCACGGTTAATGGCATCACCCGGAAACACCAAAACACTGGAGATAGAAAGATTTTCCCCATATGAGGAGTTGGAGGATTCTTTCCTCACCATTGCGAGCGCACGACGAGTCTCGTAACTACACCCACCCTGGAGCATAGCGATGATGTTGGAGGATTCTTTCCATCAACAGTAGCAAAGAAGCAACCATCCAAATAATTCTTGGCCTAGCAAGGCACCACAAGCGCAACAAACACAACAAAACCTGCGTATTTATCTTGGGAAGTGGCCACAACAAAACACATTTCCAAACCTGCCACAGCTCGCCTGCAGGAATTGTCCACCACACTTGTAGGGCTCCGCGACTTCTGCAGGAGCCTGACACATGCACGGTCACGGTCGAGTACAGCATTTGCCGCACAATTAGGGCCATCTCAGAATCCAGCATGTGTTCTTCAACCTACCTCGGGGAACCGAACAGGGAGTGTCTCTGGAATCGAGGCAGGGCTTTGTTCTGCAGGGCTTGTTCTGCAGGTGTCACACTCAGCCAACCGCGTTCCGCCGCGCGTGGTCGTCGTTCGCCAGATCGGAAACGAGCGAGCGAGCGAGCGAGCGAGCCAGGCTTTACTGAAACATCTGCAACACGAAATCGGGAAACAACAGTGGTAGTTGCATGCCAATCCAATAAGTCCAAGTACCCCTGCAAGTCAGGTCAGATGACAAATGATTCCATGTTCTTTCTACATTCGTCTGCTTGGTGTCAAGACATGGGAGTCAGGATCCCTTTGAGCAAGGTGGGCTGGGATGCCGAGTGGGGAAGCTGCGGTTGACCTGGCCTCGCTCCACCGGTGCCACCGAGGCACAGGGCCATCGATCCCCTCGCATCGGTCGTGCTGCGTTTGAGCCCGGTGGTGCCGGTGGAGAAAGCTGGGCGCAGTCGTAGACCTTGTCGTAGAAAAGCTGCGTTGGGTTTGAGCGACCTGTTGAAAAGGTGCGTTCTGTTTCAATCACGTTTCCACTTGAAGGAAGGGGCCAGGATCTCACTCACACAGACTCTTGGATCCACGTCGCTACATCCCCACCATTAACCACTCGACTCGAGTCCTTTTATTGGATCGTTGTGCTCTTATGCTGAAGGGAGTGAAGGGAACCGCCCTCATTTTTGGAAGAAAACGGACCGGCAAGCAATCCAATCGCAGCGGTCGACAGAGGTTCATCGGGTTCGCCAAAGGCTAACCGAAAGCAGCACATGACAAAGGGCTGGTGTCTCAAGTTTTTCAAGCTCTGCGATGCCCTAAACCAAAAGAAAATCCACGCGGCAAAATGTGCCCAGCTGCAAACTTGGGCACATCACTCCAAATCTCTTCCACTCTGGGCAAGCTTCGGCTTCCAGGGATACAGCACTTGTCTGCGTAACAAGGATGGAGCCAAATTTAGGTGGCCCGGAGTTCAGTTCGTGTCACATGAAAGGTACAGGTCGAGGCAAGACATTTCTACGCTGGGCCGCTGGGTTGCGTTGGGCGAGCCTCCAAGTGCAGCTGCACTCGAAGCACCACATTAGGACATTCGTGGAAGACTGAGCAACGGCTGGGATTGGCAGCCAGGCTGTCAAATAGTCGAGTTGTCACCAGGCAGCCACTACCCTGCGGCATTTCCCGGCAAAAACACAACAGCATTCCATGAATTGTCATGAATTGCTGCGGCACTCCGCTACCCGTTGTTTCATTGCTCTGCTTTCTTGCGGTAAACATGGCTCCGAAAGGAAAGTGGGGCGAATTCATTGGCCAGGCACCTCTTGGCGTAAAAATTGATGCACACGTCGCCTCAGCTGGACGGCGGATGGCCCGAGAGCATTTAAGTAAAGAGTTACTCTGGCGTAAGGCATGGCATGAACAAAAGGTTTAGAGGGCTGTTTTAGCACAAAAGTTGTGTGGATCCAAGTCACGCCGTCCAGCCCCGAAAAGTTTTCCTGTCGATGCTCATGCCGGTGTTAAAATATGTTGTACGGATTCAGGTCCTGTCTTGAAAAAATCCTACAGTAGGTATTGGTGTCGATATTTACAGTTCAATGTGTGCACTCAGGTCCTGCCCAAAAACGTCTCACAATCGATCTTTACACAGGTTTACGCACTTCAGGTCTTGCCCAAAAGAGGTCTTAAAGTCGCTGTGTGCAGCTTTATGTCCCGCATTCCCGTTCCCCCGTGGAACGGACTGATGCTAGCGTACTTTCCACCAAGGCAGCGTAAATCTGCATGCGCAAACCTTCAGCCCTCCTTTGTACCCCCCCTTCTTGAGCCCCCCTCCGTACGCCCCCCTAGGACCGAAGAGAAAACACATAAACAAAATGCATTTTGCTTTACATCTCTTCTATCCGTCTGCATCACAATCGCTTCTTCTCACAAGGCCCCCCGAAAATCTGCTCTGAGATTTCACAGCTACGTTCAAAAACCAGCAACTACGTAACGCAATCGTCTCAATCACCCCGAGCAAAATCCGCCCGCACCGAAGGTGCCGAGGCGTTCTTTTTAAGGCACGCATTAACCGCAAGTAACGCAAGTAGTACGCTATAGCTTTAGCTAGGGGGGGGGCATTTTCGCTCTAGAATCCTGTGCTTTTTGACGTTTTTGGAATCGGCTTAAAATGCTGGAAGATAAATTCGCGCTAACTTGAAGCGTCTTGTGATGCAAGAAATGCAAGTTTCTGCTTTGCATCATCTGCATCATCTGAGCGGTACATTGAGCGGTACATAGCTCTAGACGTCACTATCTAACGGACGTGTCTGCGAGATAGGTAACTTCAACGTCGTAAACGTGGTCCAATGAGGGCTCAAAAGGGACATCATCCGAGCGGTACATTGAGCGGCACATCGCTATCTAAGTGCGCTAGAAGTCCGTATCTAACGGACGTGTCTGCGAGATACGG